AGGTGCAGGCCTTTGACAGCCAGGGACTGGCCCTCGGCTCCCCCATTGTGATCCCCGACACCTCGCTGCAAACGGTCGTTCCCAAATCGCTGCAGTTCACTCCCAAGGTCGAGGCTCCGTCCAGCGCGACGTTTGAAATCCGTGCCTTTGATCCCTCGTCGCAGATAGTGTACCGGTCCAAGCGAACGTACTCGTTTGTGCCGCCACCACTGCAGCTGAGTCCGGACAAGCCGACGCTCGCCGATCTGGCCAATGGCGCGTATGTGCTCGTCCAGGATGGCAAAAACTCACCCCCCGGCAACGGCTGGACACGAAGAAACGGAGCGCTGACCCTCGGCGACGGCACCCAGTATGCCAACAATGTCTATTCGGCTGTCTACTTGTACTGTGCGGCCCCCAACGCTCCGAGCAGGCCGCTGACGGTGTCGTTTACTGTACATGCCACCTACGATACCGAGGAAGACACCGACTTTTTGTACGTTGGCGTGCAAGATGCCAAGGGCACCCTCCAGCTCTACAACGCCAACCACGACGGGTTCCAGGGATATTCGGGCAACGGAGTGCTGAACCAAACCTACACCTTTTCTCTGACCCAGGGACCTGCGTTTCAACTGTACTTTCTCTTTACCTCTGACACTGGGTTTTCTGCCACCGGCGTCGCCATCACCTCCATTGCCATCTCGCTTGTGTAAATAAACATCGCCGTTCCGACTCCCCGCAAACGATGCCGGTCCATTGCAGGTTTTGCAAAATATTGGAGTATCACCAAGCAGGCAAAAACAAAAATGCTTCGGTTGGGGATCGAACCCAAGACCTTTCCCGTGTGAAGGGAACGTGATACCACTACACCACCAAAGCACGATTTGCCAGCAGGACAACGATAGTTGAGCAATCCAGTCAATTGTTTTAGCGGCTGCCATCTCTCGGATAGCGTTGTGCTGCTTGCGCGCTGCACCTTGCCCAACGAAATGCAGGCTGCAGTGGTTCAAGTCTATGGCCATCCCAAAACGGTAGTGTCTATCAAAGAAGTCGCCAAGCCGGTGCCGTCTCCGGACCAAGTCCTGGTGAGAGTCAAGGCAACGTCGCTGAATGCCTCCGACAACGAGTTCATCACCGGAAGCCCTGGCTACATCCGTCTCTTTAACGGAGTGTTTGCGCCGAGAGTGCCGTGCCTGGGGTCTGACATTGCCGGAGTGGTCGAGTCTTGTGGCTCCCGTGTCGACCAGAAGCTGGTCCAGCCAGGCGACGCCATAGTAGGCGACTCGTTTGGCAGCTTTGGCGGTCTGGCTGACTATGCTCTTTTCCAGTGCCTCAACAACGACAAGCAGCAGTTCATCAGGATCCCAAACGAAATGTCTTTTGCCGATGCGTGCTGTCTTCCCCAATCCGGAGTGATTGCGCTGCAGGC